GCGTGAGGGATGGTACCGCGGTTCCGGGGTGGTACTTGGCCGGGGTACCCATTAGCAAAATCTCGGTGTTGGAACTTGCTTGGTTGCCGAGTTGAAATACCCGGACAGACGAACACACACATGCACACACACAAACATACACACACGTACACACACATACATACAAACACAGAGACAGGATCGTCCCAATATGCGTTTTTGCAATTTGCATATAGGCAAAAACGCAAAACACGTAAAAACTGATAATTATGTATCTGGAGGTCCATGTGGCCTCACAATGCAACATCTTCATTCCAACTGAGTACGCACTTACCCATTGCATGCCAGAAGAGGCCAAAACACAGCCAATATGAGTACAGGTGTTAAGCTACGGCGCAGAAATCATTCCTTCTGTTAGCTATCTGTAAGTTTAGCGCAAAAACGCATGATCGCACCGGCAAACCTGGTGCGTCGCAGCCCGGTTTTTTTTTTGATTTTCCGCTTAAACGTATTATCATTTCACTTTTAACGTCAAATAAAAGATGCGCTTGAGAACCTGTGCAACCGATTTGATTGATATTTCTCACCAGTACTCACTTGGCTGCAGAAAATGAACTGTATCGTGCTGAACAGTGTGAGTAACTCCTAATTCTCACTCCGTATTCACTTTTTACGAAAGGCGAAGGAAATTGGAAACAACCCAAGTGGCAGTAAATGCTAATAGCAAACCAATCACTGGCAAAGCTGCTAATGGCTTTCTCTATTAAAAGTCGCTTTGATCCAAACTGATGGCCAGTGACTATATTTAGTCAGTCATTTTCATGTAAAGCTCAGCCTCTGTAAGCGAAAAAGTTGAAAAGGACGTACGTTAATTTTGGTAGGTTTGATGTACAAAACTGCTGTTGTGTTTGTTGATACGAAGTAGAACTCCCAATGATAGTAGGGATATTTGGCTACATCATCGATGAAGCTTTCACCGTCATCCCAGTACAGCTGCCCGGTTGCGTTTGCAGTTACATCAACCTCGTCGCTGTCTGAAATTTCGTAGATCTAACTAGAGGAAAATTCGAAACCGTTTATCACCAAAACAGAAGTTGAAATTTTGCACTAAACGGTTCCACAGTGATGCACAGAAAAATTATTTCAGAAATGAGGGATCAAACCAAAGTTGGAATTGGTCAGTTATAAAACAGCAGAATTTTGGCTCTTTGTTTTTTTTAATCCACTTTTAGTCTCAAAACCGATACAAATCGAAAATGTCTAATTGCCGAATGACATGGGCCTTGAAATGTCAAAAGCTGCATTGGAAGTAGACAGAAACAATGCTTTATTTAAGCTGTTTGACTTGGCCAGGGTCACCGCATCGGGTACCAATTTTACAGCGGGGTAGCAAAACTATCCGACATTCGCTCTCTCTTTTCTCCAATGATACCATGAAACTGGCGGTCTAGCAGTGCCGGACAACAAACCTTCATTATCTTAATTATGCTTAATAACTACTGGATTATGCTTAATAACTACTGGCAGCTTGAGAAGTGTGATATAATTTTTTTAGCTAACAGTTTAAAATATTAGGCCGAATTAATGGAACTTAAGCTGAAGAAGAGATCGTAATAATGAGAATAGAAGCTAATTATACACACTTTACAACCCTCTCGGACCATAGCACTAGATTGCTTTCGGGACAACGTTATAGGTAAAAAAAAGAAACAAAAGAAAGCTGACTTCAAATTAATGATTCCATAGAACATCGGGTAGGCCTTCCAGATTTCTAAGCTCTGGGTCTTAATTATCCGATACAAATAACCACGATGTGAGGCTTTTCATCATTAATATATCACTTAAAAAAGAAAGCAGAAAAATTTTATAACTTATTCAAACCTAAAGCAATGAGAAGTTCGAACGGA